TTTCCTAATTGTACTCAGCTGTAATAACATCTTCTGATTTAAACCAACGAGCCAATCAAAAGAGACTTGTAAGAAGTATTCAACAATCGTCTACATGCTTTTCTTCACGTCTTTCTTTAGTACTGGCAGGCAGAAAGAGTTTGAAATGACTCTGCTGCAGGTTTTTAATCTCCTTGTATTGCTGCTCTTCTTATACAGGCCTGTTTCTCCCAGTCTCTTTCATAAGTGAAATTGATTTCCTGCCTACACCTCCCAGCCTGCTTCACAGTGACGCTGACTTAGTGCACACTCCTCCCAGTTAGTTGGGGGATAACAATGAAGCATTTCCAAATGAGTGACTGAACACCTCAAGACTTGCCCACGTATATCATTGCAATAAATAGATCTAAATTAGAAGAGTGTATTTGTCTAACTTTCCTTTTGATGGCATGAGAAACTTCCAAAGCTCTGAAATACAGAAATAAAGAAAGCAATTACAGGAAAAGACGTGAAAGGATTGAAAGCATACGTTATGTTGTGAAGGTGATGACAACTTAACACGCAAGTGTAAACTTCCAAACTAATTGGCAAACTCTTATAGTTATGACCACAATTGCAATTCTCTGAACCGACGCTATTAATTTCTGCTTCTGGTTTGCTTTGGTACTGAATTTAACGGATCATGAGTTTTATCTAAAAGGTCACATATAAGAAATGACAGAATTCTGGCAGAGCAAACCAAGTCCTTGCTATCTGATCCATTTAGATTAATAGAATACACCAAGAAGGATCATTATTAGCCTCAGTGATTTGCAAGATTATAATTTATGAGCCGCCACATGTGCAGGCTATAAAATAACTTCCTTCAAACAAACTGCTACATGGATATTTAGAGTACAGATTTACTTTTTAAAAAACTAAAATGTATTAGAACTTCTTCCCAATAATTTAAGAATTGTGTGTATTGCAAGCAATGACATTTTTAAAAAGTCAATAATCTATGTTGCTGTTTGTTAACTGTGACAAGTGGAACCACATGAGACTCTAGCATTTTCAGCTATTCTGAATTACCATAATGTAGATGTCCATGAATGTAAAACTTTCATTTCCAGCATGCAGTGTTTATATAAACAGCGCAACTTCTCTTGCGAGCTGGAAATGTGACAGAAAATGGCATCTATGGCTGGATGGAATTTTCAATGTCAGAATTACTATTTGAAATTGTTTTGCAAAGCTGCCTGTTTACACTGTCACCAAATGAATGTTAGAGCTATAATTGGCTGTGGATTTATTATAAAAGCCCTGCAGTAATCTCTGGGCAGGGGGAAGTACTGCACTCACCAAGACATCAAATCTGCCACACAGCACTGACCCCATAAGCCCTGGGTTAAAGTTCTCTCCAGGATTACTTTTTCTCAGTTGTGGTACCCCACACAATTCCTCCAAGTTGAGGAATTTCTGTTGCAAGCAAAGTTTGCAAGGATTTGAATGCTTGATATCACGCCAGTATCTATCCACAAATTAAGATTTCAAATGTCTGTCTTTTAAATTTTACCTATTTTTGATTTAAAAATTTAAGATATTTGTGTTTCTATAAAATTTTGAATGATGAAGAAAATAGTTGACTATGAACATTTATATTTCAAACAACTTTGTTTTAGGATTTACAGCTATAGATCTTTGTCCCCTAAAGGATTCCTTCCCGCCATGATTGTCAGGAACCTGTACTGTATCCACTCTTGTTCCTTCACTTCTGCCCACACCACATCCCTTACAGAATTGCAATATGGTTCCCCTTGTCCTCGCCTTCCACCCCTACCAGCCTCAACATCCAGACAATCCATTCCCAGCCTTTTCTATCACCCAGTGTGATGCCACTACCAAGCGCACCTTCGGCCTTTGTTTGCATTCCAAAGGATCTTTTCCTTCTGACTCTGATCCACTTACTCACTCAAATATCTCAACTATTTCTTATGGTACCTTCCCATTCAAATGGAGGAGCTGTGTAACACCTGCCCTTTTACCTCCTCCCTTGTCACTGTCCAGCACTTGAAATTAGATGTATTTCTTTAACTTAATGTCTTCACAATTTGCAATATAGTTTCTACATTGGGCAAACCAAATTGGTTGGTGACCACTTCGTGAAACATCTCTGCTGAGTTCACAAGCACAATCTAGAGCTTCCAGTATCTTGCCATTTTAATTCACCTCCTTGTTCTCACTCTGACATTTCTGTCCTCTGCCTGCTGCATTCTCAGTGAAGCTCAACACGAGCTTATGAAACAGGGCCCCATTTTTCAATTCAGCCACTTAGATTCAACAATGTTCGACATACCGTAAACTCTCCTGTTTTATTTTCATTTTGTTTTGAGTATCTCAGTGTTAAACTTGCTTTTGCTATCAGATATGACTGTTTGTTTGTTTTTTTTTGTTCTTCTGGCATCCGTACTACCCTGATCAAATATTTTGTTTCTTTACCACAACCATTACCACTGACTTTGCCCTTTTGTGTCATGAAGGCGTTTGCCAGTTAATTTCTCCTGCTCACCAACCTACCACAGATTTTCTCTTTTGTTTTTTATCCCTCCCACCTCTTTTCGCTTGTTCAGTCTGCTGCTATTCTATATACCTTGAGTTATGAAGATAGGTCATTGACCTGAAATGTTAACCTTGTTTCTCTCCACAGAAGCAGCTGGACTTGCTAAGTATTCCCAGAAGTTTGTTTATGCTTCCAATTTCAAGTATCTGAAGTCTTTTGCTAAAATTAGAGTGTAGAATAGATTTCCAGATACAGAGATAAAAATCCAACAATCATTCAAAGGTATAACACATCAGTGATTTCCAGGACCAGTCCAAATGGATGAATTGAGGTGGACCAAATAGCCTTCCTCATTTGTAATGCCCTGTTAATCTTGTAATCCTTAAAAGAGGATGCTTGCAGCCATATATTTATTGACTGATAACTTTGATGCTTTCTCTTACCACAGATTGTGCTATCTTCCTTCAAACATGGCTTGTTTAATGGTCAATGGCTCAGCCGAGTCAGTTACATTCGCTGGGAAGGCTTTTTTCAGTGCCTTCCTATCTATGGCATGTCTTTTGCTTGCCAGTCGTAAGTACTTTGTGTTCTTCTTTCTAAATTGTGTTGTGCGGTTTCTACAGCAAGAACATTTCATCCTTAAAGCTCATTGATTGTTATTTATTAAATGTGGTTAGTTAGACCTGCATGATCTTGCAGGAGGAATTGCAATCGAGCGACAACTTGCATTTACACAGTATCTTAATTTTAGAAAAACATCCCTAGATACTTCATGGGCGTTGAGGTGAGAAAGAACTTGTTTAAAGGTGGGTTTTTCAGGAGGACATTCCTGAAGGTCAGGGAAGTGGCAAGTTGAAGATTGTAAAGATTGAATTCAGCTCAAAGGCATTGGGAAGATGAAGGCAGGGTTGCTCGTAGTGAGATGAAGGGAGAGATGGATGTATAACAGGATATTGTTGCAATGTGATGGAACTGTAGAACTACAAGTGGTTATAGAGATAAGGCTTTGGCAACATTGGTATTTTAATCACTAGGACAAAAATTTTAAATTGGATCCTGATCTTCCAACAATTCCAATGTAGGTCAGAGATAGTAGGAACTGCAGATGCTGGAGAATCTGAGATAACACGGTGTAGAGCTGGATGAACACAGCAGGCCAAGCAGCATCAGAGGAGCAGGAAGGCTGACGTTTCGGGCCTAGACCCTTCTTCAGAAAATGA